AAAGAGGATAGTAAAAGTATAGTGAATAACAAATGTATATAATACTCGATAGTAAAAGTTTTATAATTTTATTTTCAAGTTACTGATGCTTTCGAGACGCTCTTTACTTAGAGCCTATCCTTTACAACAAGGAGACGGCACCACATAGGTTTGGTTTGTAATAATTCTGCCCAAAATTGTCTAAAAGGAAGGGAGTGATTCTGTCAATGTCCAAAGAATGTTATTAATAATTTGGTTTTTAATTGTCTTAAAGCTAAAACCCGGAAAAAAAGCAAGTGTAAGAAACTGTCTGCCTGCAACCTTACCTCTCCTCGTTCTTAGAGGTTGTCCAGTAGATAAGCTCTTGGAAAAACACGCATGATAATACGCACCCTGATCAGTAGGTTGATCAGATTGTAAATAATATTTCACAATGTCAATAATTTCTAAAATCCACCAGATGGCGCTCTGCCCAGTAACGTAGAAGGATTAATTGCATTCAGTTTCCTCTACCGCGTTATACCATGAGCATCATTCCTTGTTTTGTTATTAAATATGTTTCGCTGAAGGCGTTTGTAATGCTTTAAAACCCTGGGATCATCGCATTTAACACAGGTGGCCATCTCTTTCTCTTAGTGTCAGACCGCATCTGCACAATGTCTGCAGCAAGAACCACGATGGCTCAGGGGTTAGAGCGTTTACTTTCCAATGAGGTGTCCCGGGTTTGAATCCCAGCGATGGCTGGTCGATGTGAATTCCGCATCAGGCTTGCACTGATCAAAGAACTAACGAAAAATATCCTGAGTGGTTGACGGATCATGGGTTAGTCTTCTTGTCGCTAGGCTAACCGTGTGGGGTTTTCGTGGTTTTCCTCACCCTGTAGCGCAAATGCGGGTCAGTACCATCAAAAATTCTTCCATAAAGGCAAATTGCTTCCAACAATCGATCCAGAAGTTCCCTTGTCTTCTGGATTGGGTTCAAAATTACAAGGCTGCGGAGTTGAACAATAGTTGTCGTAAACCCAAAAATTAGGTCTTCTAGTTATTATTTACTAGAAGGTTACAGTGCCATTCATTAAATTAGGTAGTGCGCAGAGTGTCTATAATGAAATGGTTTTTAAAAGCTTTATATGTTGAAAAGTCCTCACTCAATCTGAAGGTAGAGCAAATTACTATTATAGAAATATATTCACGCAATTTTAAAAATCTTGACGAGGTGAATTATCTTGAAAAAATATTGTGTAAAAAAAGAGGAAAATATATATAGTCCATAGGATGAAAAACCTTAAAATTATTAAAAATTAAAAACCTTATTTTCCATTATTATTAACTAAACAATTGGAACAAAAAGAGCGACCTTTCACCACGTAAGAAAGCTTAAGTAAAGGCCCTCGTGAATTCTAAAATATTTTCAAATCTCGAAATTTCACGAAAATTTAAAGTTTTTGAAGCTAGCGTACGACGCATAAAAAAGAAAAAAAAATCAAAATGAAAAATAATATTTTTAAAAACTACGTTTTTGTAGTGGAGAATAATAATTAGAAAATAAAAATTTGAAAAACGAAAAACGCGGGGAGCATGAAATATATAACAGTAATGTTATATTAGTGTATGTATGTGCGCTCATGAAAATATGTGTATGTATATCTGTAATTGTAATTGTATCTGAATGTGGATGTGTATGTGGAATATGTTTGTGTATGTGGATGTATATGTGGATGCATATGAGTAAGAAAATGTGTATATGTATGTGTATATATATCTACTGTTATGTATTTCATGACGCCCCTCGTTTTTCGTTTTTCAAATTATTCTCCACTATAAAAATATTACTTTTTATTTGAATTTTTTTTTGTACTCACTTCCAAAATCTCAATTTTTTTTAATCACTGTGCACAAAACTTTTCACGATGTTTTTCTTGTACGAGTGCCGTACTTAAATGGCATTCACTCGATGATACGTGAGTACGAACATCGTATTTAACCGGCGTCGAAGAGATTCAGTTTGATACCAGACCCAGTCTGCTTCAATACCAATAACTATATTAGATACGTAAAGGCATAGTAACCAGACCCGTAGAGTTCATTTGACAGATGACATGTGAGTCGACATCGACAGTTTACAAAACAGCCATGTTGAGTTGGATATCAGTTCAGGAACAGTGCCGGAAAGTGGTGGAGCGGTTAGTGGGCCTAACTGAGAAGCCAGTGGCTGCGGGTTCGAATCCCGCTCGGGGCATGACTGTTTCTCTCAGTGCTCTGTTGTGTGAATATGGCTCATCCTATGGACAGGTATGTGTGTTGTGGTTAATGTTGCTCTCGTGACTTTGGCTGCAAGGTGCTCCCCTTATGAAAAAATCGAGGTATAAATAAGGTATAAACGAGGTATATTTTAAAGGTATAAAAGAGGTTTTTATTTAAATACGTCGTTGAGGTTGAAAAAGGTGCAAATGAATACCTCAAAACCAACCTCAAATCGTGTTTCCAAACTCAAAACCAACGTATTTTGAGCTGCGTTCATTTTCGTAAAAGCGGTTTTCAAGCTATGTCCATTTTTGTAAACGTGCATTTCGAGCTATGATCAAATTTAAAAGTTAACCGTTGATAGTCTCTTCGCCTATTCATTTCACTACTTCAGCACAAAATCTTTGTCCGCAGTGGTCTGATCGTGAAGACACGGTTCCCAGTAGAACACCGAATTCACTGGCTGCGGCAGGTAAGCTGATCTGTGACCACTTTGATCAGTCTGCGTAGGGATCGAGCAGTGGCCCCATCCCCCCCAAGCTCTTGGGCACATTCTTGTGCAAATTCTAAATTCCCCCCAAAACTATTCGTTTTATTTAGTGTAAAAATCCCCCCCCCCAGCTTTAAGTGGGCGCATCTTGCGCCAACTCCCCCCCCCCTGGTGGGGGCCCCTGGGATCGAGGGTGCATGTTTTCGGTTCTCGTTAAACTGTTCTACCGTAAAGTACTTAACTTCGCCTACAGCTGGTCGGGTTACCAAAGCAAGGCAGCCATCTCCTCTGTAGAGGATCAAAATTGCGATGGCACGTCTTCAGATCATCCGCAGGGATGTTTCTCAGACCATCGCCAATAGCCTCTTGTGCAGTTCTAGTGCGACGTAAATAAAGTACGTACACACCTATCTTAAAAATTTGCCGCCATTTTCGCTCGCCCTCGAAATTTCGTCCATCAAGCTCTTGGCAACAGAATTCGTTTAGCGATCATCTATTTCAGCTGATCACCAAAAAATAGGGTTACTAAAAGGCTGGCATTCTGGACAGTGCGAACATCGTAAAAAGCTCTATTTATTGGCGGATCTTTATCACCCGCCAAACGCTGTATAAAGCGTGGAGGTAGCAGGTTCGAATCCTTCGTTACCCTGGATGGCTTATAAGCCAAAACTGAGCACCCAAACCTGCAAATGCAGAACAATGATCAAATCCATTTGCGTGTCCATAGGTGCATTTTTCCTTTTTATTTAATAAAAAGGCTTTTTAAAATTTTCCGTGATGCTTTTCTTTAGAACTAAAGCATTAAGAACTAAAGAACCAAACTAAGGTGCGCTAATTTTTTTGTCCATAGGTGTATTTTTCCTTTTTATTTAATAAAAATGTTTTTTAAAATTTTCCGTGATGCTTTTCTTTAGAACTATGTTTAATGTAGTTTTCAGATCCATACAGTTTTCCACTTAAAAGATTTTAATTTATATGAAAATCAAGAGACGCTACTGGGGAAAGCATGTGAAGTGTTGCCATAGGTAGAGAGTTCTGCTTTACTGTGACGTAAAGCAGAACAGTACGTCACAAGGCCGTAACAGTTAAGTTACGGATCTAGTTCAACCTTGGCAAGGCGTACTTTTGAGAATAATTAAATGTGGCCAAGAATTAAACTTAAACTGAGAAAACTTTTTCATCTTATTAGGAACGATAAACTCGATGACTGGTTTAAATTTACAAACAGGCCTAGGTGTTTGGAAACACGATGTTTAATAATATATCAAATAAGAAAAATAAGTCCAGAAAAGATTTCTTGCAAAAAGAATTAGAGTTTTATACAAGTTAGTACGAATTGATTTTTACTCATGGAAAATACTTTTGTATCTTTATTAATTATATTTTAAAAGTAAAGTTTTATTCACTTATCAGCCTGCTATTTTGTTTAACCATTTGATACCCTTTTAAGCTGATAAAATTTATATTGTAAATTGATATTATCGCACGATGTACATTTAGGCATAAAAAATACTCTTTGTATTACAGTTTTGTGTTGTAATTAGCGATATGAGTTAAAATCATAGACCTTCTTCAGTAGGCAGGGTTTAAGTTTTTTTATCGGATGTAAATTAGGACCAACCTGAAGGTGTGTTCGCCCCCTAGGTTCCAGCTATTTTTGATGGGCCACCCAATATTCATTTAAACTGAAAACCGTTAAGAAAAAATTTAACATTGCCTTATAACATATTTTATTGTGATGTCTTTCTTTCTTATCATTATGAATAAATTATTTTAACGAACTTTTTATAATGCATCTGATTAAAAACATGAAAGCGTGACACTATTTAAATTATTATAGGAAACAACATTATAACCTATTAAAATTGTAATGTTGGGTGTTAAATTTTGACTTCTTTGGATAAATGTTTAAATACAGGGGTTTTCTTCAACAAAAAAGAAGAAGAAAAAAATTGAGGAAAGGAAGGAGAAAAATATTTTTTTTGAAAAGCTTTTTTTCATATTTAATTGTTTTAAATGCAGAACTAGTATAAAACACTTATTCATTTACACTACATAGTTGAATTAAATAAATAATCTCAAAAAATGAAAGCGGTAAGATATTATTTGATTAAAAACTTTTATTTGCCACAAGAATATTTGAAATGGACTGGGGCACCAAGATGGGAGGTCGCTGTGACCTTCCTAAGATTTTCAATATTCGTTAAAATCTGATAAGTTATTCGGCATATTTAGGAAAATTCATTTTATTTTGAAAACACAAATGAATTTATTAAGTATTACATCTACCGACCGGACTGTGTAGATTAGAAAGATCCTGGGTTTTTAATCCTGAACAATGCTTGTATGTTCTTTTATTCCCTGTATCAGGGTTGGCAAGATTTTGCCACAGGTGGAAAAAACCATGGTAAATACCGGTAAAAACCGTCCTGGCAAAAACAGGTTTTTGCCAAGCAAATTGGCAAAAAGTGGCAAAAACCTATATTTTCCAAGATGAGAGGACAAAAACACATTTTTGATACAAAATTATTCCTAAAATTGAAATATATACTATAAATATAAATAATTACAAAAAAATTAACAAAATTATTATTCCATAATTAAATGATAATGTAATAATATATCATTTTAGTAGTTTAAAACATTATTGATTGGAAAATTTGTGATTATTCTTTTTTTTCCAGTGAAATGAACTTATTTTAAATTAATATAACTATAATTTAAAACATAAAATATCTATCAATATGTGTAGTTAATTATTGTACAAATAATCATTTTTTATAATAAATAATAATATTATGCAAATAATAATATTTATTTATTTGTAAAAAAACATTTATTTTAGGATTCTAAAATGAAAAGAGATCACAAACTTTCAATCTTTTAAAAATTATTACCATTATATTAATTATTAATATGTTAAAAATAATTTTTTCATGTAATGTATCAAAATTATTATTCCTTATGATTGATTTAAATTTGTTTCAAGTATTTTGTAATAATATTTAATCAGTAATTTAGATAATTTGGTTTTTGCCGGTTTTTACCAGGTTTTTGCCACTGTCCTGGCAAAAAACCCTTTTTGCCGGCAAAAACTCCAACCCTGCCCTGTATTATATGTCATTACTGAGGGAGCAACGTTAGCCCACCTCATATGGTGCCCTTAAAAGAATGACCAGCAAATCTATCTAATTTATATAGCTAACTTGAATGAAGAGTGTCAATCAGGTGGGCATCGGAAGAAAAGAAAAACATTACATCTTTATTTGCTTTTTTGTTGAAATAAGAGAATGCCTAAATACCATTTAAAGGTACCCATTTATTTTCAACTAATCTAGTCTCCTTCTTCCTATTGAAATCTTTGATTTGCCGATCAGACATTGAGAGATACCAATTAACTAATCTTCAAAAATCCTTTTGTCCATCTTTTGTGTAAGTGAAGAATTTAACAGTGAATAGTGGGTACAGTTTGGTTTTAGCTTTCTGCGACAATTCTCTCTAGTACTAATATCTTTCTGAAAGACATTTTTAATAGTTAGCAAATATATAGGTTAGCTATATAAATATGTTACTAATTTCAAGTAACAAAAGTGCTTTTTGTTTACAAAAAACAAGAAGGGGAAAAAAAGCCTTCATGAATAAAATAGAAAAGTATTCTATATTTTTTTAATTATAAATGAAAGATTTTTTTTTTAATCTATGCATAAAAGAATACATATTCTAATTAATATCATTGGCAATATCCTTCTGTTCTAAAAAATTATATTTGTATAGTTAACCTTTTTATTATTTTATCGATTTGGAAATTACTTTTTATAATGTCAATCTGAAATTCTAGATGAAGCCAGTCATTGCAAGAAAAAATTTATTCTCAAAGGAAAGTTTTAAAAAAAAAAGAAATCGGAAGCGTTTCTTCCACCTCCGATATGCGAACAAGGCATTTTTAGGAAATACTTCTGCAGAAAAAAAGGACAAAAAGTTCTGCTGAAAAAAAATAATCTTTCAAAAAATTCTGCAAGTAAAATAAACCAAGCTGTTTTTCTTTCGAAATAAAAAATCTTTCTGCAGCAAATATGTTAAGTTCTGCGACAATGTCGCCATGATTCTGCCACGGGGGTTAGTTATATAGGTGAATNTTCATAAAAGCGGACCCGGGTTGAAAGAATGTGAGTAATTTTTTCACAATTTCACGAAAAACGGACCTTTCACAAAATGTCTGGACAGACCCCTGGTTATATACACTGAAATAAATACATAAAAAAAAATTATGATTCACAGACTGCTTAAAACAAGGTTGAATGTTGGTTGAACTTCAGGGAAATATACGTTCGATTATCACTTTATGATACGAAGCTATGATAATTTATTTAACCTTGAAATGTGATAATTTTTTTTTAAAAATTGCAGATAATGTTTAGGATAGTCCAAATCACAGAATTTTATGTTAATAACAGTGCATGTCGGAAAATTCCCATAGGGGATTTTATTTATCCCCTCTGTTACAAGTAATTAGCTTGTAATTTAATTATGAGGCTCTTTTATTATTTTATACCCATTAATTAAACATTGCAGTTTAAAGTAGCATATTCCTGTAGAATTTTTTGTTTTCAGAAGTATTCAATATACTTTTTAGAATAAAATATTTGTGTGATTTCCCCTCTGTTACGCTTGGAATTCAACTATAGTATGGTCGATTCCCACTCAAAGGTGATATCGCAGTATTGATGCAACAAATGCTTCCTGTTATGTATTTTATTTCTAATACTACTACTTATCAACACATATAATACTACCACTGATCAACACACATAATACTACCACTGATCAACACACAACACGGATTTCATGATTTTTATACATTTTTTTTTTATTTGTGATGATTATTTACAAAATGCGAAGAAGGAAATAATTTGTGCTCCCCCCTCCCCCCCAACAAAATCACCCATATATAATTTGTGCCCCACCGAGAATTTCACCCATACTATTAGGATAAAAAATTATTACATGTTCAATTTTAAAAAAATTATATAGTTTTTTTTCTTCCTTTTTTTGTAAGGACAGTGCTTTTGTTATTTTAAATGAGTAACTTATATGTTTGTTATTATTAAAAGTATTTTGCAGAAAGATATTAGTGCTAGAGGGTTTCGTCTCACATAGTCAAAAAAATTCTGCCACAGTTTTTTTAAAATCATTTACAAGACTGATGTTTGATAATATATATTTTAAATAATAAGAAAACTAGTTATGAGGCACATTTCTTAATGTTAAATTTGCTAAAGAAAAGTATTAATAATCCTAAGCTAGACCTTCATTTAATCAATCTAAAGCAGGGGTCCCCAACCCTATGCCCGCGGGCACCATGGCGCCCGTCAATCGGTCTAAGTGCGCCCACTGCTTGTGCCCAATGATAAAATATTTCAGTTTTTCATTTTCCCATTAAATGCTATAAAATTTTTTGTTTATTTATTTATTTTTTTTTTGCTTTTTCAATATTGATGATAAACACAACCAAAATAGAAATCGCCAGGAAAACGACCTGCATCCCTACAGATATAAAAGCACGAAGCAAAATATAGCTGACTTCTTTACTATGTATATAGCTGACTTCTATACTGACTATACTTTGTATATTTTGCAAGCAATTTAGTAATCATTTATTTTAGACAAGAATATTAATACTAATTATATTCATATAATGAATTAACTTCTAAAATTAAATTTTGTGTGCATTATATGTAGTGTGTAGTATTACCTATGTCTACCAACTATGAATTTATCTTGAAGAAATAAATGGTGCCCGCCATTCGACCGATATTCTGGCATTTGCTCTTAGGTACAAAAAGGTTGGGGACCCCTGATCTAAAGGTTTTCATTATATAGTACTTTGCAAAAGCAATTATAAATTGATTTTGAAGGCATACTCCAAGATTGCAGAAAAGAATAGAGCAGGGGACTGAAAGTTTCCAAGAGAATTCTTAAAAAAATATTTTATTCAGTGGTGCATTCTAATTTTATAATCCTCAATTAGTACAAATATTCAATTCGTGTATTTTGCAATTAATCAAAAGTAATTATTTTTCAGATTTGCTTGCTCAACATGAAAAAAAAGAAAAAAATTTGCCTTGCACATCAACTTTTTTCATACAACGACCAACATGTTCTTCCAAACCAATGTTCACTTTTAATAAAGTGAGTGACTTGAAGAATACGAAAGAGAAAAATCCTTTAATCCAGACAACTGTTATTCACAATTCATCATCGAAAATGACAGTTTCTAAACACCATTTGAAAAAAGTCATGAATGGTTCACAGCTTGATAAAAGCAATTCCTCTTCCATAATCTATAATACTAAAAAATTAGCTTTAAGTAATGCAGGAGTTACTACTAAGTTATTAATGAACCAAGAAGCTTCTAAAAAGTCAAAAACTTTGATGGGAGAAATCAAAGCTGTTACGGAACAGCTAAAATCCAGAAATTCCTCTAGGTTTAAAAAAATAAACAGCTTGGCCAAAGTGGAAGGAAAAAAAGATTTGCAAAATATAAAACAAAGTTCAATTAAAATTAATTCCTATTCAAATTTTAATAAAGTTGTTTCAAGTATGGGAAATGTTCCTAAGCTAGTATATACTGAAAACAATGCCCATCGTCAGAAAGGCAACTTAAAATCGCATACAGTTTTGTTAGAAAAAATGAATGCTGTTAAGAACTTATTAAATGCTACTACAAAAAATTCAGCCAATGTATTGAATAAAGCTAAAAAGAATCTCCTAGAAAACAAGACTAAATTGAACTATAATAATTGCAGGCAAAAATTTGTTAAGTCTTCGAATCTATCTGCTTCACAATGTAAAAATTTGAGCCGCCCTGTGGACAAAGTTCTTCAGAAACAAGATTTTAGGTTGAACAGAGCCTCAAATAAGTTTTCAGTTCAAAAAAGTCTTGTTAACCAAATGTCCAAAGAAAGTATTAAAACACAGTACAAAGTTGTAAATAAAGGACTATCGCCTAGTCGTAATGTGGCCTTGCAAACGCATATCAGTTCAACTGTACTAAAGAGTTGCAGACTAGGGAACACTCCCAGGAGTTGTTCAAAGAGAATATTTGTCAAAAGTGTTCAAAACAGTTTTTCTCCGCCGAAAAAAACACCAAATAAAGTTTGTAAAAAATATAGTCCACACTTCTATAGATCAGCTGTTAAACACAGACAAAATCCAACTTTAAATAAATCTTATAAACTTTCTAAAAGTTTGTTAGAGAATGTTGTGAAGTCTCCAAATAGTTCTACTGGCGTTGATGTCGACTTATTGTTAGAACTTGCGGCCGAAAACAAAAAGAAGCTCTCCAAGTCCAGAAAAAGATTGTACAAAAGTAAAAACAGGCTTATAAATTCATATTCTGTTCAAGGTAGAACGGTCAAAATGATAAAAGCCAAGTATTTCAACCCATACAAAAAGTTTGCTGATTCGAAGTATACAAATAAAAGTTTCAAAGGTATGTTAATTTTATATGTTTAAAGCTTTTTTTTTTGGCCATTTGAAAAAGTGTTCTTTTTAAGGGTTCTTTTCAAATAGAAAAAGGGTTCCTTATGCAGGGTTGCCACTCCACACCACGTGGAAAACCTGGAAAATGCAGGGAATTTTGATTTTTTTTTCTTAACAAACTGGGAGAATACAAGGAATTTTGTTTCTTATTTTTGTCTTTTAAATAGCAGTGGCCACTCAAAGTGTAATCTATGGGATATTTAACCATATTTCAGCTATACTAAACTATTTCATTTATGGAGGGTATGTATGTTCAGCTGAACATACATAACGAGAAACCAAAAACCGGTTTCTTAACTTAGTTGCCTCCACTTGGTTGCCTAGTGTCATCAGCACTTAAGACAGTTAGTTTTTGCTTTTCCGAACCATTCATGTTAGCAAAAACAAGAACAGTTATTCTCACTTTGGAGAGTTTCCCATTAGTGCATTTTTCTCCTTTAAATTTTAACGTCTGATTGGGAATTAATTTGTAAAATAGTCCAGCTTCGTCAGCATTAAAAATGTCTTTCTCTTCATAATTCTGTATAATACTCGGCCACACTTCAGTTTTCCACATGCGTTGCATCAACACTCGCTTCTTCTCCAATAATCTTTCCTGAAGAAATATTACCTATTCCATTTTTTGAATCTATCGAGCCATCCATTGGAGCACACAAAATCCCTTTCCTCCAATTTTTCAGCAAACTCATTCGCTTTAATTTGAAGCATGGGAACGGTTACAGGAAGATTTCTATCCCGCTGAGTGGTGAACCATTTTAACAAAGCTTCTTCTACGTTTTCTCTTTCAGCTCCACACAGTTTTTTCGATGATACCATATTTTTGTCACATGCTGCAAGAATTGTACTTCGATTTTTACAAATGTTTGAAACTGTAGATTTTGACAAGGAAAATTCCTTACACAGTGCCGATTGATTGGTTCCATCTTCAATACGCTTTTCAATTTTAACTTTGTCCTCTATCGAATGAGAATTTGCCATTTTCACTGCTTTTGAAATAAAAATCTTGTCTCAAATAGATAATGTAAGAATATGAAGAGAGCAGCTGTAGAATGAGTTAAATTGTTCCCCTTCTTGATTGTCAAGGGGTGATTTGTAAGGAATAAGGTTCGAATAGATAAGAAAATTCCAAAAATTCAGCAGGTGGCCAAGTTAACTAGTTGTAGAGCAAGCTAAAGCGAGGCTTGTCAGGGAGGGGGGAGTATAAGATTCTGTTTGACATTTATTACAGTATAGTTAAAAGTGATGAGCATGAAAGAGTGAAATATGGCACATTTTATAGGAATGCATTCATTTTCAGTCCCAACACCTACAAGTTTAAAGATGGAGGACTGAAAAAGATATTTAAAGAAATGAAATTTGAGTCCACTATAACCGAGCTTCCAAGTTCTAAGCTGTTCACTATAAGTGTTAAAAATAACATTATTTAAATAGGAGTACGGGCGGGACCGCTAAAAAATTTCACTGCATCTGAGTGTTCACTATATCCCAGGTTCGCCTGTATTAACTTTCATTAAAACAGTCCATGGTAAACTATTTATTTAAAAACAAGCACATCGCTCACTGACGAACAGAGTAACGAAACAACAAAAAGTAAGAATACAACATAATGAACTGAAGCTGAAGTACTCTCCACCTGCTATAGATTAGGGCATGAGCTATCAACCAACAGTAAATGTAAAACGACCTGTCGAACACTCGTAGTCGATGACATAAGTTGAGTGCTACGTCACCAAAAACTGGTTTCACAAAACTGAAGAACTAAACTTTATTACAAGTAATCAAGCAAAGAAAAAACCCTTTTAGTATTTATTTATCTAACAAATGTCTTCTTAGTTCATGAATTTTAATGTTGTAAAATTTTTAAACTTTGTCAAAATTCTTTAACTTGAAATTTGATATTAAAACATATTTCACTACATAAACTGAAACAAAATTTTTTTCAAAAAAATATTAAAACATTAATTAGTTATAGAATAAATAAGTAAATTCCAAATTTTTCTGAAACAAAATTTTTTTCAAAAAAATATTAAAACATTAATTAGTTATAGAATAAATAAGTAAATTCCATACTGAAAAATCTTCAAAGGTTAACATAAAGATAATAAAATCCTGTCTNAAAAAATATTTTAAAACCTGCTGATTACCTATAGTATAAATAAATTTCAATATAATGCATGGCAACTGTTGGTAGTTTTGAAGTTTATATATTTTCTTGGCAAACTTCAGATTTTGACGGTTTAAACCAGTATTATACCCTTGTCATGTTAAAAACCACTTTTTGACGCCAAAAACCCAACCCTGGTCTGCGAACTCAGTAATGTGTCCACTGTAACCGATGGTTCATTATATCCAAATTTTTTGAAGAATATTTTTTGCATAAGACATTGAATGAAGAATGAAGAGTGAATGATTGAGACAGAAGAATGATTGAAAATTAGGTTTGCAATTTTACATAAGTCACTTAAAAAATTATTAACTAATTAACAGATAATAAAGCAAAATTTGATGAAAAAAGTACTTAGTTTTTTAACATTTTTAAAGCACCTTGGTTTTTGAGATTTACCTATGACAGTTAGTTTTTGCTTTTCCGAATCATTCGTGTTAGCAAAAACAACAACAGTTTTTCTCACTTTGGAGAGTTTCCCATTAGTGCATTTTTCTCCTTCAAATTTTAACGTCTGATTGGGAATCAATTTGTAAAATAGTCCAGCTTCGTCAGCATTAAAAATGTCTTTCTCTTCATAATTCTGTATAATACTTGGCCACACTTCAGTTTTCCACATACGTTGCATCAACACTCGCTTCTTCTCCAATAATCTTTCCTGAAGAAATATTATTCCATTTTTTGAATCTATCCAGCCATCCATTGGAGCACACAAATTCCCTTTCCTCTAATTTTTCAGCAAACTTATTCGCTTTAATTTGAAGCATGGGTCCGGTTACAGGAAGATTTCTATCCCGCTGAGTGGTGAACCATTTTAACAAAGCTTCTTCTACGTTTTCTCTTTTTAGCTCCACACAGTTTTTTCGATGATACCATATTTTTGTCGCATGCTGCAAGAATTGTACTTCGATTTTTCCAAATGTTTGAAACTGTAGATTTTGACAAGGAAAATGCCTTACACAGTGCCGATTGATTGGTTCCATCTTCAATACGCTTTACAATTTTAACTTTGTCCTCTATCGAAAACGCTTTTCTCTTCAGAGAATTTGCCATTTTCACTGCTTTTGAAATAAAAATCTTGTCTCAAATAGATAATGTAAGAATATAAAGAGAGCAGCTGTAGAATGAGTTAAATTGTTCCCCTTCTTGATTGTCAAGGGGTGATTTGTAAAGAATAAGGTTCGAATAGATAAGAAAATTCCAAAAATTCAGCAGGTGGCCAAGTTAACTAGTTGTAGAGCAAGCCAAAGCAAGGCTTGTCAGGGAGGGGGGAGTATAAGATTCTGTTTGACATTTATTACAGTATAGTTAAAAGTGATGAGCATAAAAGAGTGAAATATGGCACATTTTATAGGAATGCATTCATTTTCAGTCCCAACACCTATAAGTTTAAAGATGGAGGATTGAAAAAGATATTTAAAGAAATGAAATTTAAGTCCACTATAACCGAGTTTCCAAGTTCTAAGCTGTTCACTATAAGCGTTAAAAATAACATTATTTAAATAGGAGTACGGACGGGACCGCTAAAAAATTTCACTGCATCTGAGTGTTCACTATAGCGGGGTTCGCCTGTATTAACTTTCATTAAAACAGTCCATGGTAAACTATTTATTTAAAAACAAGCACATCGCTCACTGACGAACAGAGTAACGAAACAACAAAAAGTAAGAATACAACATAATGAACTGAAGCTGAAGTACTCTCCACCTGCTATAGATTAGGGCATGAGCTATCAACCAACAGTAAATGTAAAAAGGCCTGTCGAACACTCATAGTCGATGACATAAGTTGAATGCTACGTCACCAAAAACTGGTTTCACAAAACTGAAGAACTAAACTTTATTACAAGCAATCAAACAAAGAAAAAACCCTTTTAGTATTTATTTATCTAACAAATGTTTTCTTAGTTCATGAATTTTAATGTTGTAAAATTTTTAAACTTTGTCAAAATTCAAGTTTTAAAAACACTTACAAACCTTGTAATTCAAAATTCTTTAACTTGAAATTTAATATTAAAACATATTTCACTACATAAACTGAAACAAAATTGTTTTCAAAAAAATATTAAAACATTAATTAGTTATAGAATAAATAAGTAAATTCCATACTGAAAAATCTTCAAAGGTTAACATAAAGATAATAAAATCCTGTCTGACTGGGACTCTTAAAGAAAAAAGATTTTATAATAAAATGTAATCAAACTTTTAAAAAAGGAAAAATCTCCCTCAATTCTCCCTCAGGAAGGAATTTTCTCCCTCAAGGTCTCAATGATTGAATTTGAAGAAGCTTTTCCTATGCTTCCGGAATTTCACAGATTGGGATGTACTCTGAATTTTGATTAAAAGCATTTTTTGTATATTAATATAGACCTGCTATATATTTTATTTATGAATCGTATAAATTTAAAAAAAAATAGCTATTATAAAAGTGAATTTAATTGGTTTCCCTTTTTGGCATGTGGTTTAAGAAGTGGAGTGAGTCAGTAAAAATGTGCCAGAAATGCTATGAAAAATTGCTAAAAAGTAGAGTGCAAACAAAACCTTCTTTTCCTCATCAAAAACTGTCGAAAAACTTTTTATCAGTTTATATAATACTTAAAAAAATTTTATGTATTTTAGGATATAGAAGTGATTCCAACATTTCAAAGAGCGGTGAGAGGTAAGTTTACTAAAATGCATTTCATATTTATAATTATTTAACAAACATTAAATTTTAATTTCGGCCAGTAAATTGGATATTTCATAAAATGCTAGTTCAATCACAAAAATAATGTGTTGAGGAAACCGTACCGCAACAAAAGCAGTCTAACCTTGATCCATCGTTCCTGCATCTTCATTTAACGGTCATATGCTATTCTTATAGTGTTAATATTTAGATTTTTTTAAAACTATCAGAATTCCGCATCTATCAATGGAAAGGAAAATAAGGATTTGTTGTCCTTGTTTCTGCATCAGTTGGTAGAAATGTTGAAACTGTGGACTAATAGTGAAGACATGGTTCCCAGTAGAAAAGCATCCCTGGCTCTGCAGTCGGTAAGCTGGTGAGTGACCGCTTTGATCATCATGCGGACATGCGGTATCAGTCCTCGTTAAACTGTTCTACCGTAAAGTGCTTGACTTCGGGCTACCAAAATAGGGGAACCCTCTGCAGAGGATCAAAACTGAGATGGTATGTCTTGGGATCATCCTCGGGGATGTTTCCCAACCCGTCACCAATAGCCCATTGTTCATCAGTACCTACCTGTCAAAAATTGGTTGCAAAAAATTAGGTGCAGTGCGATATCAATCAAAAAGGCAAAACGGAACTGCAACATAATGGAAGTCTGAATCAACGAGCAGCTCTGTAACTGATGAAGTAAATTTGATTATTTAAAATAGGCGTGTACAACCTATGGCCTGAAGGCCGCGTGCGGCCCGTCGATTGTTGATGATATGCGACCAGCTGGAACTACTGAACACAATAAAAAATTTCTTTTAATTTGGTTTTTATCTAAACATTATAAATTTTCTTTTATTGAAATGTTTAATTCAAATTGATGCTACTCTATAAAATATGTATTTCTCTTGCACTTTCATTCTGTAAGCTTCTTTTTGATTAGAATTTGTATCCGCCTCCCGATATTTATGTATATATATATTTGATAAATGGAAAAAGTTTTTTAAGAAGGTGTATCAGTTTTTTTGAATAAATTCAAATAATTGAAAGTTCTTAATTTTCCACAAGTAATTTAATTTGGTAAAAATATTTGGTGCTTAGAACACTAATGTTTAGATAAACATTATCATATTTACCCCTAACATGACCCCAGAAGCAGAAAGTGCCTAAAACTGCGACGTACGTCGCAGAACAAACGAAGTCCTGCAGAACAATTTGTATCTTGAATAAGTGACAACGTTTTCCTGCGAACCCCCCTCCTCCACCTACCTCCGGTAGTCTTGCAGAACAATCCCCAACCCTAATCTCATACTACATTTTTACGTAGACCACAATGACCTGACAGTTTAAAAGCTTCTCCACATACCTAATCTAGCAGAACATTTCAGATCTTTTACCATGGGAATAATCCGGTAGTCTTGCAGAACAATGCCCAATCCTAATCTCACACTACATTCTTCTGTAGACCTAAATGACCTGAAGGTTTAAAATCTTCCCCTCATAATCTTGCAGAGCATTTCAGATCGTTTACCATGGGAATATGCCGACCACATCAGTAAAATAAAGGCTTCATTGCACATTATAAAAGAGCATCTTATCCTCATTTCAAGTATAGTAAGCATAGAGGAGTTCCAAAATATGGTAAAGTTATTGCTTTCTTCATTGTTTAAAAATACAAAGAATGCATTACAAATGTTTGGCCAGGAAAGTATGTTTCAAGAAGTTCCTCTGCAGATTTGCCTGTTAGCTCCAAAAGACTACTCTCCGTCTTAAATTATTCTGAGCTTTCTATATTTTCCTCAGATGTAATGCAAATGATAATCTACATTGATTCCATGTTGAAGCAGTATAAAATATATTTTGAAAAAGAGGAAAACGTTGATATTGTCCTTAAACGAATGAAAATTCTCTTTAGCTTTGACCACTTGCTGTTTCCCAAGAATGATGTTGCTTTAGAAGAGGCACCTTTGACACCCTGTTCAAATTTCAGCACATTAATCAGTAATCTCTCTCACCCATATCTTTGCCATTTTGAGGTGGAAATTAATAAATTAACTATAACATTTTTATGAAATGGGCGTATCAGTTTTTAGCAGACAGCAGTAGAAATCGATATGTAGTTTTATCTAGAGAGCTTCTAAAGCAANCTGGGCGGGGCTACCCGACACATTTTGAAAAGAGCTGAAAAACATGTTTTTTTTTAATTTCTATTTTTTTAAGTTAAACTATTCTTTTTTGGTTTATTCTTTTTGCATTATTTAATTAGATGGTAAAACAATAGAAACATACAAAAATATTGATTATTACTCAATATTATACAGAAATATAAGCAATACTCCTTAAGTGAGCGGGGCAATCCGACTCTCCCCTAATTCGTGTGAAATCTTAATTTTGGGGAAAGGGAAATTTTATATTTGGCCAAATGAAATTCCTAATTTAACCGAATTATAAATTATTGTTTGCAATTATTCTTAGGTATTATAATAAAGAAACATCAAGAGAGATTCTGAAGCATTTTTTGCTTCACTAAGCTATAAATAAGTATAAGTTAAAAAGTAACTTAGCTGCCAACCTTTCTTTTATATTTTACAGGGTTGTCTCTCCACAGGAAAAACAGCGAAAACCTGGAAAATACAGGGAATTTTGATTTTTTTTTCTTAACAAACTGGGAAAATACGGGGAATGTTGTTTCTTATTTTTGTCCTTTAAAAAATGGTGACCACTCAAAGCGTAATCTATAGGATATTTAACCATGATATTTCAGCTAAACTAAACATTTTCATTTACTGTAGCATTATTTGAGTATGTTTCTTTTTTCCTATAAGTTTCTCCCTCAATTAAAATTAGTATAGTTAGCCCAATCTAGCACAGTAATTGCTGTGGTTCCTCTTAATATATTGTGTATGATATGTACTGAGAAAACACAGGGAATTTTTTTTTTTTTCTAGATTTGAGTGGCCACCCTGTATTTGGTATTTATTTATCTGCTTAACATGCACTTTATTTTTAATCTATTCATCATAGATATCTAAGGTTTTGATTGATAAAATAATGTATAAATATTTTTCCAGGTATCAAAAGTACAAAACTATCTTCACATAGAAAATCTTTTATCTGGAAACCTGTGATAAAGACTCTAAGTCCAGTTTCAAAAATGATGGCCAGGTAAAATATTTCATTCTTATTATGTTATATAAAGTACTGTTGATCATTATTTATTTGGTATATATTAAACATCATGCATGCCTCTCTTTTTTTCTCTCTCTATTTAAAGTTATAAAAGATATAATTCAAACTGATATTTGTAGTATTTAAAAAGTTTTTTTGATTTAAACACATTTTAATTTGTAATTTTGCCATAAATTTAAGACTGATGTAAATAAAAAGAATTATATTCCTTGGAATGAATTTAAAATAATTAACTATTTTACTAATTGTAACAGTTAACTTTGTTTTTTTGCCAAGAAATAATTAAGTTAGAATATGAACCCAAAATTTTTGTTAAAATTTTAATATCAATATTCAAGATCTGGTAAATCTTATTTAATTCAATTTTTAAATTTTCTTTAGCGATTTTCTTTTTCATTTTAATTTAAATCTTTAAATTATTTGACTGATTGGTTAAAAAGGAATAATTTTTTTAATTGCCCTTTAATTTATTCTTTAATGCTTTCAAATCTAGTGGCAGACATTTCCATATAGTTTTTAAAAATCCGATATTATTTATTATAACAATCAAATCTTGAAACGAAACACGCATTTGAGTAACCCCTTTTTTGAAGACTCCGATTCGCGTGATTTTGACATTGATCTGTTTTTTGGTATTTACTGCTACCTATTTCATTATTTTTACTTATTTTTTCTAGTGTGATAATAATTTGCAAAATGTGATTATGAAATAATTATTGCATTTGTAACACAATGTAAGAATATCGCCCATAATATTAGAATAAAAAAATATTACACATTCAATGAAAATAATATGTGTTTCGTTTTCTTTTTTTGTAAACGTAGCATTTTTATTACTTTGAGTTAGTAACATACATATTCAGGGTGCGTAGCGTTTGTAAAAAGTACTTAAAGGTGCTTTTTTGGGGATTTTGTTTTTAAAAGCTTTTAAAGGTGCTTTTTTCAGTTGGCGTTTTTAAAAAGTGCTTTTTTTTTCAAAATTTTTTTTTACCCTTCAGTGATATCTGGTGGATCGCATGCATTTCACGAAAAATGGGGAGTTTGCTGCGTAATCATTCACGCAGACTTCATGTCGTACCCACGTTATGACTTGCGCATGCGCGCATACTTGAAACGGAAACCCGAGTGCTCCAATTCGGGTAGAGAATGTCAGATCCTTATGAAATCTTTTTCTTTTTAATTTATTTTAATTTTGTTCTTGTTTATTTTATTTACTTCTAACACTTTTTTTGACGTAGGGGGTAAGGGTACTTTTGTTCTGAGTTCAGGGTCAAGTTGAATTCACTCAGTGATTTGGGAAAGTACTGATTGTTTCAATTTACGCCCGTTTCTTTTTGCGTTTTTTTTTTTAACGCTAAAACTGTTTATAAAAAGTTTTTGTTTTTCAATAATATCNTACTCGATGAAGTTACCAAAAGTATTTCATAAAGGACATCAAAAGTGTTTATGAACAAAAACATTATGCTTATGAACTTATAAACAAAAATGTTTATAAAATCTTTTTTTCAAATTCTGAGTTTTCTTTTACAATTCTAGTAACTCAAGGTGTTGATAGCGAAGAAGAACTACAGAAATATTGCCTTAATCTGCTACTTGGTAAAAACAGTGTGAATATTCTAGGAACAGTTTTCAACAGCTTTCATCCATCTCAAAAAGAATTACCTTTATCACTAGACTACAAAATTAGATATGCGGATTATAATAATTGGAATAGGTTTCAAACATCAAAGAAGTACCGAGCTCTAGATTATAATAGTCCACACGAAGAAAGTAAGTTTCTTCTTCTAATTTTATATGAAGAACAATATTTTATTGTCATTAACTGTTGATTAGAAATGTATATTTTTTAAAAGTTTTTCTTTTTGTATCAAGCAGAATGCATTTTTTTACCGTTTTACCCATTGGCAAAATGAGAGTTGTTTTGGGTTTGATGGCGCGCGCACCTTATTTGGCCGTCATCGCACTTTTCAGCTATGTTCAAGAGTAATAGTAAACAGTGCGCATGCGTCGTCATTGCATGCGTTGCTATGGCGATCGCTGCTGCTAGATAATTTTTTTAGAATTCTTTTTTTCATTTTTAATTTTGTTATGCACTAAGTTGGTGAGTTTATTTTTGAGATATGGGACTAGAAAGATCCCATAAATACATCTTCAGATGTGAATAAAAGATAATTTATTCATTTGAACTATATTTTTGCTTTTATTGCTTTAGTTAAGAGTCAGAAATTCTAACCTATAGTTCAAACTGGATCGTTTTCAATACTAATTCAGTTGAATATCACAAATAAGGAAGGTCCAAATGGATTGACTAGGTCCCAAAAGTTAGACTTGAAACAAGAAGAAAAAAAAACTATACCAAGGTCTAAACTTACCAGGGCTGAAAAAGCCAAAGAACGTAGGCGAGAATACCTTAAGCAAGCGTTGATTCATTAACTGTTCATGTAAAATTGAAAAAAAGCTTAGCTTTCAAATCATATTTCATGTATGAACTTGTGAATCCGAAACAGTTGTGTGACGCGGCCTACAATCTCCATCGAACAACATTGTACCAATCCGAAAATTTTAATGTTGATCTCGTTTAGCTGTTCAATGTCTATTCAGTCATCAAAAGAATTTACACAAAATGTTTCTGAACTGCATTTAAATATGTCTGCAAAATTGTGTACCGAGCAGTTCAGGATTAACAGTTAAAGATGTCCAAGATGAAAACACGATAAAGTTTAAAAATGAGACAACAGCCATTTTGTCAATGGGTAACGTGTAATCGCCTTGTGGCGATCACAATTTTCTTCATTTTGTAGTGAATCATATTTAAATTTTTTATTCATCTTTTCACTGTTACAATTTTATTGATTCATTGTTTTAAACAAATATTATTCAGAAACTGAAGTGATAAAAAAATAACTTGATTTAAAACTTCATTCTCTATAAAATTATATTTATTTTTTAAGCAAAGGAAATTTTTAATCAAGTTATGAATCATTGTTGGTTTACTAGCAAAATTTATTTTGAGATACATTGAAATCAATTATGGCTTCATTGTAGAAACATTTCGTTTAAAAATACAAGCACATTTTTAGTAATATCTTACCACTAATTATTTCAATTAATTTAATTTTTTTCATTTTTAATTAATTTATTTACCTGTTATTTAAACATTTGTGTTGATAATAAATATTTTGTAAACCTATTTATTCTAGCCGTGCATTAAATCGTAGTATAAATCAAGCAACAAGAAAAAAGATGCAGAAAATCAACTCTTATTGCATGTTTTATAACAGATTTGGACGATGCAATAAAGGTATTAAATGCGCTTTTGTTCATGATCCAAGCAAGATTGCTGTTTGCACCAGGTATGCACTTTTATTCCCCTTTTTTTATTGTTTAACAATTCATGTGACTTTTTAAATATTAATCGTAATTTTCTTTCAAAAAGATGTTTTTCAAAGACATCTTCAATCGCATCAGTCAGGAGTGACTGTATTCCGGGGTTCCTCGGAATTCCATGTTTTTGGAACCTTTTTTGGGGGGGGTCTAAAAACTAGAAACAGAGCATGCAATTTTTGCACAGATTTCGTAACAGAGTTAGCAAGGTTTAGGACAGATTGGATTAATCCACGATTTAAACTGTCCTGTTTAAAATCCCTTTGTCTAAAACTCTTTTAGTCAGATTATATCACAATTTTAAAAAAAATGTGGAGAATAAAAGGTTAATTTTTTAGCAAGACGCAGAATGAAGACAAGTTTTGGTTTTATTGAAAAAGTTTATTATTATTTTTCATATTGCATTATTTATAACATAATTTATCAGTATTAAAAGCATATTTATTCATATTTAAAAGATAAGGTATTCACTTTTGTTGTTCAATGAATTGTCGAGTTTAAAAGTTATAAATCTTTTTCTATTATATTATTTTCGTTTAATAAGCTAAAGCGGATTGTATGAAAGGTATCAAATATTTATTAATATACGTAATTATTATGTGTCCTATAGTTACACCTCTGGAATACCACATCTTTAACCTAATTTCAAGGTTTTGGTCACTTTAAGACAATTTTAGTCAGTTTAGGACAGTTTAAGACAGTTAAACCCACGTGTCTTGTTCAAAACCAATTTAGGGCGTTCGAAACCCCAAACCTGTATCTCAGTATTCTGCATATCTCAAGAACATTGGTTCGCGGACATCCGCAAATCAAAAACTTCAATCTGACAAAGTTGTGAAGTTTATTCTAAATCCTGTTAAGGGACGTTTATATGCATTCTTCTGCCCATTTGATTCTTTTGATTTGGCTTTTTTTTTTCGCCATTTTAAATATTTGTAACTACTCTGGAATCTGCTAAGATTGCAATTCTTAATCACGCGATTTTAATATCAAACATCAATCTTTGTATTTACCTGCTTTAAAAGCTAAGCGTTGCAATTTGTATGCATGTGATTTATAAAATTGTTCATCGCAATTTTTATTTCACGTGATTGAAAAGTCCGATATCGGGATTTGCATTTACCTGTTTTTGAAACCCAATCCAATGTCACAATTTGTATTCAAGCGTTTTTAAAATCCATTATTATGATTCGTATTCACATGTTTTTAAAATCCAATATTGTCATTCGTATTCATGCGTTTGTAATATCAAACTTCAATTTTTGCATTTATGCTAGATTTAAAATCTACACATTTGGATTTGTATTCACGGGGTCTAATCTAAACATTTTGAAAAGTGATTCATGTACACGCGATTTTAAAATCCAATATCGCAATTCTTGTGAGAAATAAGTTTTTCCTTTTAGTTACTCTAAAAGTGTGATATTCTGCATTAGTAGGTAATTTAATTATAAATGTTAATTTAAAAAATTATATTAAATATAAAACATATAGGTTGTATAAATTGATATCGATTTTTTGCACATAAAATTTTCAGGGTTTTTCACTCTGTGCCTCGATTGCCCCTGATCAGTTATTATTAAAGCTGAAATTAAAATTGTTATTAGAGTTTCTTCTTTATAAATTCTGTTAAGTTCTTTATTTTTGTTTTCAAATTATTGATTTTTGATTTATTTTTTTTAGGTTTTTACGTGGGACTTGTAAGAGTGAGAAATGCTTATTTTCTCATGAGATTAATCCTGGGAAAATGGCTCTTTGTTCATTTTTCTTACAAAATGCGTGCACAAAAAAAGACTGTCCATACCTGCATGAGCAACTTTCCTCTGATGCTGAATTGTGCAAAGCCTTTGTTCAAGGCTACTGCCCTAATGGAAAAACTGTAAGTGGTTTAAAATTCTTTAATCTATTCTTTGTTGTGGTTAAAAAATTCTTTAGTTTAAGTTAAATAATGAATTTGTTTATTTTGTTTTTGAAACTTGTATATTTGTATTTTTTTAGTAGTTTGGTGAAAATGTTTTATTTTATTATTATTATTATATCACAAAAGTTTATTTTAAAATAAATTCTAATTGCAGAATTGCACAACTTTCACCCTTTACCATATTTATAATTTATATCACAAGTTTGAAAAACCTGATTTTATTTCCCAGGCTTTCAACATACAAGTTATCCGCACACCTGAAAAGTCATGGATTTCTATTTTGAACAAAATTTGTCATGAAATTTCATGATTTTAACTATATATTTTTTTTAAGTCATAGAAAGTCATGGATTTAGGTTGCTGAAAAATCTAATTTTTTAAATAGAGTTTGACCCCCCCCCCATTCCATGGTGTTCCGAATATCTGAATTCGACAGTCATATTTTATTCATGATATAAAATGTTTATATCATGTTCTTTAAAAATTATGGTGCTCTTTCAAAGAATGAAAGAAAGAACATCATTTCTAGAGCGAATTATTTTTTAAACTTCTCTGATTTCAGAATTATTTTTTTTAATTCCAAAATGAGAACAGAAAAATCAAGAATATTTCTTTCCTTTCCCTTGAACAAGAAAAGTATCTTTATCATCATCATCATAATAATTCATCAGGTATAATTCATCAGGAAAAAAAAAAACGAATTATTTGCTTTTATATATATATATATATATTTATACCTANATTTTTTTCACCTATTTCATTGCTTCAACTCTTTCTTTACTATTTTTAAAATTTATAAGTATGAAGATGCAGAGTATAACAGTTTCGGTTATACTTATCATTTCAAATAATGTTATTATAATGTTTTTTTTAATTTAGTGTTGTGTTTTTGTCAGAGAAAACAGTAACTTTAAGTCATGAAAAATTCTTGAAATTAGTCATGGATTTGAAAATCTAAATTCTAGCAGATACCCTGAACATAAGCTCCTTGAATTGTTGGAGAAATGACATCGTTTTCTCTAAACAATGCGGTTTTTTCCGCTAGCATCGCTGGTGCTCTATCCGTTTCAATATCTGAACATTTATTAAAACCTCGTAATTTTTTCTCTGCTTCGCAGATGTTCTTTCCTTTTGTGTTATCAGTCATTAGATACATTTCCAATAATTCCTTTGTGAGAAAAATCTTCCAGTGTGCAAATATTAGACATTAGGCGTATAAATATTAGATATTAATCAAACTAACTCTCATCAGTTTGATTAATGCTTTCATCAAAGCAAGGTGAGAAATAGGCACTTTTTTTCTCAATTAAATCAATTAATGATTTTGCTACCTGCTCTGCTAAGTTTGATTAAAAAGCGCCATTGAATCAAATTTCTAGGCTTATCTATCATCGCCAAAAGCTTTCGCCATTTTAATAGCACATATTTGTTTACTAAATTGCTATCTGTGAATGGCTGCTTTAGCCAGAACAAGAGAAATGAATGCTGAACAGATGATTGGGAAAAAATTCCTGCTTCAATTACTTCTTTAAATTAGCAATCAAAATAATTCAAGATTCTCCTCCGTAGTTGTTATGATACTTTTCTTCATTCAACAATGAATAATGTTTTTTCATCTTATATTCTTTTTGCATGCGTACTTAACATTGAAACTTTTTGCAATTAAATAATCCCTTTCCAAACGGTCATTGAAATTCCTAATTTCCAAAAGTAATGCCATCTCTGAATTCACAAAAATTACAGAAAAAATAAGAATTCTGATATTACATAACTTTAAAGCTAAACTTAAACAAAAATAATAATTAATATTGAAAAAAAATTTTTACAAATTTATAAAATCAAATCTAATGAACTTACACTCACAGCTTTTGAACCTTTATAGAAAAGTCCCAAAATATTTTTTTCTCTTGTAATAAAATAACATTTCAATAGAAATGTCAAAATGATTCTAGGTAATGTTCTGCTAACATGCAAAAAATTATATGTCAATCTGATAAAAGCTTGAAAGTGATGTTATAACTAAAGTATGTCAAATAGTTATTGCAAACCAATTGCAGAATCATTTATTCAAGCTTTCATGAATTTGTAAACACCTAATTTGTCAAATTAATATTAGATTAGGAAACATAAAATTGGGCAAAAATCTCTTTTCATTATTTATATACACAAACTATATGTTTGATAAGTACTTTTTAAATAAACATAAAACTAAACTGATTTAATTTAAACTTGTTTTGTGTACAAATAAAGGAAAATTTTAATATTTGAAAGTTTCACATTTAATCTTATCTTTTTACTTTTTTTAAATTAATTTTAGTCTATTTTGAACATTAAATAATTATATATATATATCTATATATACACACACACATTAATAAAACAAAACTTTAAAAAAAAAATCATTTTTTTTTTTTTTGAAAGATTAAGTATTTTAAATTGTACAAGTATATATGCTTTTTAATTTTTTTCTTTTAAAATTACTGTAATGAAAAATTGATCGGAACCAAAATGGGATGTCCCAAAAATAATTCATTGGAAGTTATTATGATATGAAGTTTTTTATTGATGAATTCACTCTTGAAATTTAAGCTATATTATTGTTGATTGCTACTTTGTCTTTAGTGCAAGAAGGCTCACATTTTGATTTGCACTAAATTTTTACGAGGCCAATGTGATAAAGGCAAAGACTGTATTTTCCCTCATCCCGTGAAGAAAGAAATATTAATAAAGTAAGTATTGTTATTAATGAAGAAAATAATTGCATTTAAGTTAAATGAACATTTTTTCATGCAATTTAAGCTTGTTAATATTTCTACCCTTTAAACACTAAAAATACGAATGAAGAACTTTTGCGTGGAAAATGCATTTATTATCTTATTGTTTTTGCACATTTGACTTCATGACTTTTTCTAACAATTATATAGAGTTAATATTATTTATTTTGTATTTTGCTTGTTTCGAATAATACTTGTCGCATACCTATTTCTACCACAACCGGTCATTTGACCGGGGGGAAATTTATTGCTTTATAAAGTTACGGATCAGAAATTACTGCGTAATGCGATTAATTGCAAATTTTTGCAAAGACTGTTGCGTAGTTAGTTCTATCAGAATAACTGTGAATTTAAATTTCAAGAGAGTACCTAAAATTTTAGATTGGCATGTTTGTGTCAGAAAAGTTACAAAAACTAAATGTTTTTTACTGTAAGTAGCTTATATTTTATTTTGATAGCTTCACTTCATTTCTAACTAACTGTTAGTTTTTATCCAGAAAAATGTCGAAACAATCAAGACAACTCAAGCTCTTAGAAGAAATAATATTAATTATGAAGTCCGGTCATTTAACCAGCTATGGTAGAAATAGATATATATTAAGTGTTGGTATGTTTAGTGTTAAATTTTAGCTTTTGAATTATGCCATATAAGAATTATTAAAGATGATGGAAACCTCCTATTCTGGCGCTTTTTTTCTCCTGTATTGATTTTATGTTTCGATTGATTTTATGTTTGAATGATTTACTGTTTTTATGTTCCAAGAGTAAGAATTGTTTGGTGCTATCCTTGAATTCACAATTTTTTGCAACTTACAAAACTGAAGAAAAAAATGCAGGTTTATTTTTTCACTTGAAATTTCTGATTTTGTACATTTGTGTTTTTTTTTTTTCCCCTATAAAAGAATTTGCTTTCATCAAGAAAATTTTTCTAAAATTATAAAGTGAAGTATCAAAGTTAATCATGGTCATGGTGCTTAGCATTTTTAAAAAGTGCTTAATTTTCCTTTTACAAAAATTTGGGTTTTTTAAATTTTTTTTCGTTACCATGTCAATTTTCGTCACGCATTATGCAAAATCTTACTTTTTACATTGTTCTATTCAACGTTTTCACAATTCATTCAAACACAATGCATTTCGGTGTACCGTCAGTGCGTAGTGTATGGAAGCGGCAATAATTTTACATGTTCGATGAAATACTTGCGGGTTCTTCGTTTACTGAGCTGGGATCAGTGAGATTATTGCCTTCTCATGTGCAATTCTGCTGCATTTTGCAAGACATTCTCAATTTCAGGCTTCCATTTTACACCCTCTGATATCGAACTGAAAAATCTCTCCGTCTTTTTGTGGTGGCTAAATATAATCAAGAAAAGAGTTCTTTGTCAAACACTACTTATTTTATCATTATCATGTAAAGTCTTTGAAAATTATTTTGTCTTTTGTTAATGTATATAGTGCTTAAAAATATTTTGTTTGTGCTTAAGAGGTGCTTATTTTTGCGTTGAAAGATATGCACCCTGATGGTGAATCTTGTAACAATTTGAAAGGAAATATTGCTCTCATATTCAAATCCTAGATTGTTCACTTATCAAAATTTCCAACAAAGCAATATTCACATATCATTAAGCTTTGTATTACTATTTAATTATACTAATTCGAAATAATTGGCAAAAGTTTGTTCAAATGAGGGACTGTGCTGGCAGTTGTTTCAAGCATTATTGAATCTTTTGAAGTCAATCTGTGCTTAAGAATTCCTTTGCAGCACTAAAATAGAAATGAAACTCCTTTAATTATTTTACTTTAAAAAATAATAATCCATTGCAATTAATAACCATATTCACGAATAACACAGCAAGTATTCCTGAAAAATTTTGATCCGTGACTATGAAAGTGTTAATGATACAATTTATGCAAATATGATACATAAAATTCTGAAAGTGATTCTCTGTTAGTATCAAAAGCTGTATTATTTTAATTAACTGAATTGAATTTTTTTATTTTATTTCAATAGCATTTTATATAGTTGCTTTAGTAATCATTATGTTCAAAGGAAGTTACACAGCAAATAGTAAGAATCAGTTAACTAAAGAAATTTTTATACATATTTTATTTCATAACCGTCGTTGAACAGCTGACCCAATTTTGGGCTTACGAGTGATATTGTTCAGCGCCGTACCCTTGTAATTTTGATCCCAATCCGAAAGACAAGGGTACTCCACGATCAAGTATTGGGCGAAAGATGGAACTGATCCGCATTTGCGTTACATGGAGCAGAAGACCACGAGAACCNACGTGATTTAAAAATTCAATATCTCTGTTCATATTCATGCAATTTTAGAACTCAATATCGCGATGAAGAAGTAAATTTTTTCTTGAATTAGTTACTCTAAAGGTGTGATATTCTGTATTACAAGGTAATTTAATTATAAATGTTAGTTCAAAAAGGTATGTTAAATATGAAACATGTATGGTATATAAGTTGATTTAGAGTTTTTGCTCATAAAATTTTCAGGGCTTTTCACTTTGTGCTCCAATTACTCCTGTGATATGGTACCACAACATTTTAATTTAAAGTACTTTCAAAAATATTTTTAAATAATTTTTTCTTTTAGCCCTAAATCATGTTCGGAAGAAAAAGATGAATTTCAATTGGAAACTGTGCTCAGATACTTTGAGTCAAACCCACAAGAGAGTTTATCCTTAGTTGTCCCCAGCAGGGTTAAGTCTTTGCCTCAACAACAAGATTTCATTTCTCTTGAGAAAAGGTATCTTTTTTAGTTTATTAAAAGGGGTTGAATAATCTAAAAAAAAAAAGGATGGATAGTTCTAAAATGTGATGTTTATATATAATACAACAAATCCAAAGAAAAAACTACTTTGACTGCCCCACACGTTTGCAGTGAAATCTCCTTCAGAGTATGAAGCATACTCTGCTAAGTAATCTCACCGATATTTTAATACAGTATATGACCCCTAATCTGGCACTCACGAATTCTGTGAATTTCGGGTCTGTTTCGGAAATTCCAATATGGCGCCCATGTATTACGCTCATTCAATTATACTGTTAATTTTAGAAAAACCAATAAATTTAGTTAAGTTTTGGTAGTAGATTATGATGGGGTGAATCTAAAAATGTCCCATCTTAAAAAATTTTATTAATTAAAATAATAATCTATATAATAGAATTTCATTTGTTCTCTTTTTATTCTCTTAGGTAACATTTTGTTTTGACGAGAGATGCTCACCTCACAAAAAAAAAGAAGCTAACAAGGAACTACAAAAAAAAGTAACAATTAATACTAAGAAACTAACAATGAATAACTACAAAAAACAAGCCGATAACTAATAACGATAAAAAAATAAGTAAACAACTAATAATGATAACTTGAGGTGAAACAAGTATAATTTACATGGAATAAAAAAACGGCAAAAGGAATAGAATTCATTTTGTACCTCACATGGTAGTTTCAATGTCAACTGGGTTTGGCAATGTGGGGACAAACCAATAGTGCATTTGCACAGCTTTCAACAAGTTTCTCCCAATTTGCATTTCTTTCTTTTTTTTTCTTTTTGTTCATTGGAAATGCAGGTGTTTTTACTTTTCACTTTATTTTAAACTGCTTTAGAAACAGATGTTTCCTTTGGCACAGATTTTTTTTTCATGCTTTTTTTTATTATTATTAAAAGATAAAATAAAGTTACTCACTTTAACAGAATAAAATTCCAAATAAAAAGAGAATATAACTGATTTTTTTTTCTCTTACCAATAAAAATTTCTTTAAAAAAAAAAAAAAAATTAGAGCGATTGAGTGCTGAATCACAAGAATAATATCCTTTTGCTTTCGTGGTATCATGTCTGTTTATTTGTGTCCATTGCTTCTCATCTTGCCACTTTACTTGATCAGTTTGAATCTTTGCCAAGTAAAGAAGAGTATAACTTAAAATCTTTACCCTTATTCGTCTAAATTTTGAAAAGAAAACTAAAACTTATTTCTTAGTGAGACAAATAGCAGTGAACAAGAAAGCTTTTATGAGACTCGCAATAATTTTCTTGATAAATCATTTTTGTATTACTTTTATAACAATTCAATAGTTTTGTTACTTCCTGTGAAATATGTTTTCAAATGCATACAAACATTCTTTGCAAGTAGTCAAATAAACTTCCCCCCAGTGCGGGTGACGCAACCCGATCAGAAACTTTGCTGTCACCCGAATATGGGTGACATGGCAGACAATATGTTCAATTTTATACTTAGATGGTTTTTAAATTTTTAAGTAAAGCTTGATCTTATAAATAAGTTATATAAATTTTTCTGCTTGCTAAAATTTGTTTCTGGCATATTTTTTTAGAGTTTTAAAGGTTTTTTAAGCTAAAAGATGAAGAAAGAAAAATCTTATGAGTCAATTTAAAACTATTCTTCTAATATACTTACATACTCGTAATATACTGCATAGTCTTGATTAATTTGTTTATGTAGATTAAAAGGGGCACTTTGCTAAAAAAATTCTGATCAGGTTTTTGTTGCTACTATGTGAATTTCTTAATGATCTTAATTATATGCTTTAAACAGGTTAATTAATTACTTCTGCTCCCTGTGGCAGAATTTTTTCGAGCTACCTGCTACAAAACTGTCTAGCACTAATATCTTTCTGCAAGATACTTTTAATAATGACAAAAATACTTGTTACTAATTTAAAATAACAAAAGCGTTTTGTTTACAAAAAAAACTATAATTTTTTTAACTGAACATGCAATAATTTTTTATTCTAATATTATGGGTGTATTCTCACATTTCGTTGGAGGGGGTAACGCTCAAATTATTTCCTTCTATGCCTTTTGTAAATAATCATCACAATAAAAAAAAATAATTTAAAATCATGTAATCTGTCATCGAAAGTGATGACAAAATCACGTGAATTAGACTCCTCAAAAAACTGCATAATAATACTGAAATGCATAATAAATAATTGTAATATCGTATAAAAAATATCAGATTTAAAAACTAGTGAGAAATCAATAGTTGCCAAAAATTAGCTAGAACCACTGCCTTAAAAGATAAATATTCGAATGCACGATTAGAATTTTCCATATTGTTTGAAATATATCGAGATATTTAAAAGCCATGTGAAAATCAGTACTGCCAAAAATACAACCAAAACAATAAATTGATTTACGATACTTTCGGCGTAAATTAAGTGCGTCAAAAAGTTTTTATCAAAATGCATGGTTAAAATATTACGTGTAAATTTCTGTAGAAAAGAAAACTAAAATTTTTTTACTTTACAAAAGAAGAATCTTTCTGCAAGAACTCTATAACAACGCTGCGATTCTGCCACGGGGCTTCTACTTATAAACTAAACTCAAAAATTTATCTTTTTTTATTTTTATTTATTTTTTTTTTTTAATTTATTTTTTTATTATTATTATTATATAAATATGTTCCTCTTTTAACTATGTATTTAAATTTTTGGCTATCAAAATTTTGGGAAAATCTCAATAGCATATGTTTAATCTCCTTAATGTAATTTTTATATATTTCGTTTTTCTTTATTGTTTTGGAAACTAATCTCACAAAAAAATATTTTTTACCTACCTAGATCAAACAAAGATAGTTATGTGGAAAAAAATTATTAAAAATTAAATTGAAAAAATTGTATTGTTAGGTATAAAAACTTCTGTATCATCATAACTGATGGATAAGTCTTGGAAGACTATAGTTCGTCTACGGCAGTGTTTCTTAACCTTTTGATATGATGGACCCCTTTTAAAAGTTTTTAAAAAGTCACGGACCCCCCGCCCCCCTCCCGTCAAAAAAATTATAACAAACATCAATTATTAGAAAACATTTAATTTTAATATTTTAATAGTATGCAAAATTTTTAATGTGAAGGTTGTTGCTTCTTTTCCTTAATTAATAAATTGAATTGAGGGATAGTTTTCGACAAAGCAACGCACATATCATGTTCAACATTCAATCGATTTCAATGTTTTGTTTTTATTTTCACAAGTCTGGAAAATCCCGCTTCGCAAAGATACACTGTAGCAAACGGAATTATAGCTGCCATAGCTCGCTTTACAAGCAATGGGTAGGCTTCTCTCACAAAAGACCAGAACTCTCAGAGTCTTATTGATTCGAAATCCATTTTTAGGAAGGATTTTGTTCTAATATCAATAAGCACATCTTTGGCAAGGTTCATATCATCGATAAAGCCAATATCACAAGGAAAAGGATTACGAATCCACAACTCATCTTTTATATTTATCTCATCCGAATTGAAATATTTTCTAAATGAAACTTGAAGTACTTCTAGGTGTTTACAGATTTCATTTTTCTAGTTATTCAGTTACAAATTATCTTACCGAGATCCATTTTCAGAAAGTACTTCGTCCAACATTTGAAAGTTTGCATATATCCCATTTTGAATTCTATTTTTCCAAAGTGGCATTTTTAATAAGAATACTTGTAATTTGACATCAGGGAACGTCATCAGGGGGTTGCCCCTGATGGTGCAAACTGAAAGCCGGTTGATGGAGGATGTTAAAAATATGACAGGGATCTTAGAGGGTTATGTGCAGTCTGCGCGGAATTTGAGGTATCTCGATCACGGGGAGGCTTGCCGCTCACAAATCACTTGGTTTCAAATATGTATGTATTTTCACCTTTTAGAAAAAAAAGATCAATGTTATTTAAATATTATTGATCAAAACGTTTTAAAAATTAGGAGTAGTCGACGGACCCCTAAAATATGACCCATGGACCCCTAAGGGGTCCATGAACCACCGGTCAAGAAACCCTGGTCTACGGTAAGAACTCCCCCGCCACAAAGTTTAAGGCCGTCTGCTGCTATAGAAACAAGAATAGTGCCTTTCAGGGAAAGTATTAGCTTTTCTTCACTCTAGGGCTAACACAATAGACAGATGAAAAATATGCCCTTTCTCTCACCGACCCCTTAGCCCTACTCGAAATAGTTGTGCCTCGTTACCATAGTCACTGCCACGGGTCCAGGCGAATGGTTGGGGTGGGATTCTTACTTTAGACAAACCATATAATTGTCTTCAAAAAGGTTAGTTTCTTTGGAAGCGAGAAACTTCTTACTATTAATTTGTTTTTTAAAAGAGGGTGCAACGATTCAATTTTAAATGGTAAAAGAAATCAGGTGAATCATTTGCGAAAATAAGAAGTTTAATTTCTACTTTTTACTTTATTAAATTGATTTTGTTTCATTAAAATTTACATTCATTAACTGCTTCCCTTACCAATTTTTTTGAAGAAGCAGATTTATTTCATTAATAAATACAAGGAACTGAAACAAAACATAATGCACAAGTTTTAAGTTGAAATGTAAATTTTTTTATGTGTAAGAAAAAAACATTTAATTTACCATCAGTTTACTATCCCGATTAATCTCGGTCAAATGTAAAAAGTCTTTGTATGATATTTTTTAAAACAAGTGATAACACTAAGTGACACTTTCCAGTGAACACCAGTGAAGTGATACGCCATTTTTTTTTCCTATGTAAATTCAGCAACCATCGTGTATATACAATCGCAAAAAAAAACATGTGTACATTATTCCCACTTACCAACAACAAAACTTTGCAAACTTCCAATCACAGCAGATTTTCTTTTTTGCCCCTGGCCAAGTAAAAACATGATAATACCAGGGCCTGATTATCGCCTAGGCCCAATAGGCACGGGCCTAGGGTCCACACTTTCTGGGGGGGGGGCTCAAAAGTTAATAAAAAAAACAACAATATTGCTGTTTCGTTTAAATACTGAAAGAAACAGTTTTTCTCAAAAAAGGTTTTTTTTTTCACTTCAAATTTTCTTTATATTGTGATAAGCCAAACTCGTGAAAACATTGCACTAATCAAATTCGAAAGTGCAGCTAAATTTTAATGGGTGCAATTTTTACTCCAACGTCTTAAGCAAATGCGACGAGAATCCATGTTCGCTAAATCTCTTATAAATGATTAATGTCAACAAGAACTAAAAACTTATTCTTAAAGCTGTAGACGGAAGGCTACAATCTTTAAAATAATTCAGAATAATAAAATAACCACAAACAGGTGAAATCAGTGATTTTTGCTAAAAGTCACTGATTTCACCTGTTTGTGGTCATCAAACTATTTTTATTTTCACACAACATTTTATATTTTGCTTTAATATTTAGATGCGTAAACTTTATCTTACAAAAACAATCTTCAATTGTCTGCTTTTAAAATTTTTCAGAATGTTTCTCTTGAATCATGCAGTTCAATAGATTCTTTTTATTGTTAGGACCACTCTTAAGAAATTTAATTTCAAAATATTTTGTTAGGGGCCAGGAAAATTTTGTGGGCCTTGGGCCTGAATTTGTCTTGATCGGTCCCTGGATAATACAAAGCATACTAATTCTGCAAAGCCCGAGTTTTCTCAGGATAGTAAATATTTGAAATATATTTATACCTGAATCAACTCTGGATAATAAGGGAAGCGGTTAATTAATGTGCTGGCTGTTAATTTGTGTATTTATACTTGCTAATCACTGTTTTCTTTTTTATTGTTGCAGTGCCACCTTATTCTATTTTTGATGTGTCTACTAATTAATGTGTTTATGCAGGATAGTAAGTTATAATTGTTAAGAGATTCAAATGTATTTTCATATTTATTTATTTACAGATTTATTACATGTGCAGGTTTTCTTTTTAATAAAGTGATATATCATTTGAGTTGGTGTTTGATTCTGTGAACCCAATCTTTCTGTCCTAGAAAATAAAAAAGTTTGCATTAGTTTAGATAAAATCAATAATTTTGTTGGAAAATGTTTCAGCCCCCAACCACTTCAGCTTGTGGACATAACAATAGAAATCACCTAAACAATTCTCTTATAAATACTGTATTATTAATTAAGAGAGGGTGACCTATTGGGTGAAAAGCAGTGGAACAGTGCAAAAAAGGGGAAAAGAGATCACCCTGAATAACTATTGATTTTGGATTTTAACATTTGGGTTTTAATCTTAATGGCTTAACATTCTAACCTCAAACATGCTATACTTCATTTCACCTTAAGTTGGCACTGGAGAGGAGGGCAGGTAGACCAGATTACAGCCATTGTCATGGAAAGTGGGTTACTCTTTAAGTTGGTTGGGGAATGAGGTAACAAAAAAAAGAGAGAGAGTGGCCAGTATTGACATTAAAGAAAACAAAATGCCGAAGTTTTTTTTATTTTTTTGCCATGAATCTTACTAAAGTTTTGAGCAAAATACAGAAAAAGAACACGATTTTTTAGAGCATTTCTAATAATTATTATTTTAAAATACTAGTTGTAAGCTGATTTCTTATTATGGTTTTTAAAAAGCAGATTTTCTTATGATTTTTAAAAAACAGATTTTCGTATTATGATTTTTCAACTAAACGAAACTAATTTAAACAACAACAAAAAAATTATACTTAAAAACATTCTTTTTTGCTTAAATCTAAGTTTAAAAAAAAAGAAATGCATCGATGCGCATAAATACTTTGTTTTAGGTATTTATTTTTATATGCTACTTATTTTTTGTAGATTGCTGTACATTAATTTATCCCACATTGGTGTTTTGTGGAGGAAGGAAAAGTCAACATAGGCAAGAAATCATTGATCATGAAAAAATCATACTTGTGTTTTATAATATTTACTGTTCTTTTTTTTCTTATTATGATTTTTTAATTAAGCAAAACTAATTTTAAACAAAAAAAAATTTATATTTAAAAAGATTTTTTGCTTAAATCTAAGTAAAAAAAATTCCTAGATGCTCATAAATACTTTGTTTTAGATATTTCTTTGCAATTTTTTTTTTTTTTTTGTAGATTAATGTACATAAATTTATCCCACATTGGTCTATATTTTAATATTTACTGTTCTTTTTTCTAAGAGACAAAAGAACTTACCTAAAAAAGATAATTCTCACAAATGGTATAAATTTGGACTTTTAGTATTATCCATGTAGTGCTTGTACGCCCCCCCCTCTATTCAGCTGCCATATCCCACCCTCTTAATCTCAACATGAACTCTTTGACCTATCCTGGGGGTTATTATGTTATTCATTTAATATTTTGGCAATTCCTTCAGCAAACACTTTGTGGGGTCGCCCTGAATTGAAGTCAATCCACAATTTCCCGTGAGGAGAAATTCTACTTGGGTGGTTAGGCACATTTCTTCAAAAGAAAATACATATTTTAGAATATCAGAACCTTCCTTTACTTTTCAGGATCTTTGCTGGTTAGAGGAGGCTTAAGAGAAAAATCCGTATAATTAGTTAATTAAGTATAGTATAATTAGTAGTCTCGAAATATTTTGTCAGATACTGAAATGTCTTAATAATTTCTACATAACAGAAAGAATTTCTCAGCTTTTTTGTCTTTGTATTTAAAAAGTAATAATTAAAATATTGACTGGTTTAAATTAATCTTTCAATGTTAAAAAAGAATTAAGGATTCAAATTTTTTGTCTTTTTTGAAATTATTTCAATCCCTATACATTTTATTAGTGTATGACTAACGGATTTGCCCAATTATATTATGGAATTTGTACTTCAGATGATATTAAAACATTCTTTTAATTAAACAAGAATAAAATTCCGCCACCACATTATGAAAGTTCCTATGAAATGCGAATTGTACTTCAGAGCTGCACATGGTGCAAAAGACACAAATTTGAATTTTTGCAGAGATTGAATAAAGCGAAAACAGTTTTTACTTTTGTCGTTAAAAGAAAAAGGAAAAAAAGAATAATAAAATCACATGTTGTATCAGCTACACGACAAATGTGCTCAACTTTCATCAGTTTAATAATAATCACCCGTCTATTTGAATTTTTTCATTCATTCTGAAGGGAAAAACAATTTCATTAAATATTGTACATATGAGGTTAATATTTAGAAAATTAAATAATAAAATAAAATTTTCCTATACTGGTTTAAATTTGGTTTTTTTTTTTAATTCATGAATGATTGTAAAGAAAATTTTAGTATGGCATTTTTGGAATATTTAATACAATTCAATACAAAAATATTATCAAAGAATTTTGAGAACTTTCATGAGAGAAAATTTATTCAAAGTATTTAAGTTAAGATCTGCTTACTCCTAAAGTAATTGAGAATAAGCTTATTTTGCATATAATCTGATTTTTTTTAAAACAATTAATTACATTTCTTCAACACTTGTTTCAAAGGGTGTGCGGTATTGGTCCTCGTTAAACTGTTCTACCATAAAGTGCTCGATTTCGCGTGCTGGTCGCGGGGGTGCCATCAGAGGATCAAACCTCAAGGGATGTTTCCCAGACCGTCGCCAATAGTCTATTGTGCAGCTCTAGTGCGACGTAAATGATCAACAACATCAAACTATTATGAAGGAAAAAAAAACATGATAAATATTTACTAAAATTTATTTTTTGTATGGAATTATATTTAGATAAAAGAATTTTATAATCGTGTGCAAAAATTTTTCAATTCCCTTAAAAAGCTCTCAATCTGTAGTGAAATACAAAAAAGAAAGAGGGAAAAAAAATATATATAAAATTTGAGGATCCAAACTTTGGATAGCTGACCCGATCCAACTATTGGGACCATATTCCCCAAATTACAGCTACAGCTACCTAGTCTATTGTGCAGCACTAGTGCGACGTAAATGATCAACAACATCAAACTATTATGAAGGAAAAAAAAAACATGATTAATATTTACTAAAATTTATTTTTTGTATGGAATTATCTTCAGATAAAAGAATTTTATAATCGTGTGCAAAAATTTTTCAATTCCCTTAAAAAGCTCTCAATCTGTAGTGAAATACAAAAAAGAAAGAGGGAAAAAAAATATATATAAAATTTGAGGATCCAAACTTTGGATAGCTGACCCGATCCAACTATTGGGACCATATTCCCCAAATTACAGCTACCTCCTATATTACGGGGGTTAGAAAATCGAATCTGTTTCCTCTAAATATAATGTTAATCATAAAATACCAATTTTATAAACCTGTTGAATTCGGTTACTATACCGTTAGGAAGGTCTTTTCAAGACAAAACCATTATAAAAAGGAAAATTATTTTTTAGTTTCAAATCTAAAAGTTTTTGATCGCGTTATGGAAACTGAAGGAAATTATAGACTTTTTTTTCTATCGGCACATATATCCACATTTTAAAAAGTCCTAATTGAAAAAATATACAGAAATTTTTTCTCTATATACATGGATTAACAAAAACAAAGTTGCCTTACTCCAATATGGACAGGTCCCTAGAAAATATAGCTATATTATGAATAGAATTCGTTCTTGAATATTTGGCCTATGTATTCATGACGCCATGTAATCATATGTGACAAAATTATGACAAAGAGTAATAGTTTTTTTTATGAAAGAAAAATGAGAAAAAGTCGAAGCATATTTGCTAATTAAAAAAAAAATTCTTTTTAATGGTTTGTCATGGAAATGAATTAATTGCTACGGATTTCTAAGCTGATGTTCATAGCTTTTTTATTAAATTAAATGCGTTTTTTTATTAAATTAAATATGATTTTTTTATATAAAATAACGATTGCATTTCATTTTTTAATAAAAACAAAGTTGTTGAAAACCCGAAAAATTCCAAGTTCCAATTTAAAAAATTTTAGGGTCTTAATAATTTAAAAAATATAAATTAAGAACAAAATCCATGCACACAATAAACGTAAAATTATCAATTAAAGTACTATACAAATTAAATTTTATATACGAACATAAAAAAAGGCGATTTTTATGTTACCATTCTTATAGAAGAAGAATTCTAACTGTATATAAACATAAAATTTAAATGAATGCAATCATTTACTTACCTCCTTATAAATAAATTTACTTTGTGTTTTCTTGTTTTCCAAGGAAAATTTTTATTAAGAATAGGAATTATTGATATCACTATTTATGTTTGAAAAAAAGGAATGTGCAAATAATTTTAATAACTCTTAGTTAAATTTTAATTTCAAAAATTGAACAAAACAAAAGGTAACAGAAAATTTATATCTGAATTAAAAATGGTTCATTTAAATGACGCAATTAAATGAGTTAAAAACTGGAATTTAACTGCAACGTTTTACGTTTGTCTCAGAAAAAATCTCTTGACAAAATGACCTAAGTATATGTCAACAAGAGTCATCCCCTTGGATGGACCTTAAAAGCTTACATCTGTTTTCCTGGAACATCTAGATAATTTCTAGTTTAAGACAACTTGAAGGACACATAGATGGTACTGTAAATATAGGACATTTTATAAAAGCACAAAAGAGCCCAGGGTCATAAAAATGATTAAGGTAATTTAAAGAAGGAAAGGATAATTTTCCCATGGTGTGAAAGGAGATGGCTATCTTTTGAGGAGTCAGATAACTGTGGGTGGTATGAAGGTTTTAACACCTTCATACCACCCACAGTCAAAAGATGCTTTCAAATATATCTATTAGTCTCAGTGAAGGATGCAAAACAGTGGTAGTTATTTTAGTTTTCTGAACTCTTGTTATGTTTTTTTATGATGTGCTCCTCTTCTCTTTTCGTGTTTTAGTTTTAATTTTTTTTAATAAATTAAAAGTTGTAACATGCAGAAAAAAATTTAAACAAAACCGAAGTATTTTTCTTGGGGGATTTCTATTTCAATTTGGAAAATAGCTAGTAAATTGGAAAAAAAAGTAGTTTGTTTATCTGAAATTCTCAATTTTATTTTAGCGAATG